ATAGAAATCTATATCTATCACTTTAGGTGATGCAGATAACTCTTGCTGAACAAAACTATACTCTGTGCGAAAGTATAAAAATGTTGCGAAAGAGTTCAACATTTATTATTCGATTATTATTGGTATCTTATTAACTTATGTTATTGATCATAGATTTATTTTGTGTCAATACAATTTTTCTCCGAAATGTTAACTTTTATAAAAGAAGCTATTTAACTTCAAACATGGTATATGTGATATACTTCTGAAACGCAGGGACTGCCCTATGAATTGACACTAAAAACCTCCGCCAAATATATGATTACAGTGAACATAAACACGTGTGATGGCTTGGTTAATGGGGCAGCTGAACAACTTATGCAAATTGATTTCCATTGTTTTTTTCCAACAATTCTGTGGATTAAATTTTTGGAACCTTCTGTTGGTTTGATAGCACGATCAAAAAAGCCTCATCCTCTAGAAAGTTCTTGGACACCAATTGAATGAATCTTTTGAATATAAAAGAAATGAACAAATTTCAATTGAAAGAAATCAGTTTCCAGTTGTTCCGGCTGAGGGAATAACTATTTATAAAAGTCAGGGTGCCACATATAATAAAGTTGTAGTTCATACTCGACCCAGAATGCCTAGAGCTTCAATATATGTCGCTTGTAGTATAATGTTTAGAGTCTTCACCCTCACATTAATGATATAAAAAGCGACTGTTTGATGCTATCTTCAGATATTTTATGTTTTGTAGAAACTTGGAGTTATCCTTGCGAAAGTTTTGATATACCAAGATTTGCTCCAATTAACGAGCTGAGGATAGATAGCACGGAAATAAACGGGGCATTATAATATATGCAAAGCATAGTACTGCTTGCTCTATAGAATCAAAGGCTGTAAAGAAAATTTATTCAGGCTGCAAAGTTTTAGAAGCGGTTTTGTTTAAATGTTTTAATAATAATATTCTGGTTCTATATAGAAATTCAGCTTTCTCTGTCAGACAATTAATTGTATAACTTCAAGAAGTCCTTACTTTTGAGTTAGGCAATCAAAATGTGCTAATTGTTGGAGATTTTAACATTTGTTTATTGTCTACAGGGACTGCAATAAGAAATCTGCTCCAAGAAAAAAACTTTAGTTCCCTGCTTGGTGCAGAATATTCAACACACCTGCCGGTACACAAATTGATTGGGCATTTTCAAACATGGATCCTTCCCGTGTAAATGCAATTACTTTTGAGACAGTACACAGCTATCATGACAGTATTTGTGTCTCTATTTCGAACTAAAGTTTTCAGACTTAGTGCAATAGTTCTTCATTTTTTTTCCAAATATAATCGAGTTGGAATGGTATAGGAATTTTGACAGTAGTTTTTAAGACAATTTTAAGAAAAATATGTGAATAATCTAATTAAAAAAATTTAAATTATATATATTGTATAATAACAAATTACAATATATATAATTTAAATTTATAAATGACATTATTGTATAAATATATGATAGAAATTAAATAGTATAAGGAAAAAAGAAATATAATTTGGATATATGTATAAGAATCTCTACAAAAATTTATGTCAATATTAAATATTATATACAAATTAATATAATAATATTATATCATTTTTAAAGTTGTTAATATTTATTATAAACATGTGCTAAACATGTATAATAATATCGATATAATACAAAAAAAATGTTATTCATTGTCCAAAAACGATTTCTTTTCATACTTCTCAATACAGTTGTAATGCATTCTATATAAAATCAATTATAAGCGTATACAAAAAGCACAAGAACGATTTCTCATAATTTGAGTAAATTTAGTTTACAAATTGCTCTAATTATTTTCACTGTGAGTGAAAAGTAAATAACTAAGGCAACAGTTCTTACTTCTAATTATTAAAATATATAAAGAAGTCTCAAACGAATATACCATTTAACTTTGCGAGAGTATAAAATGTTCGGTTACATCCGAACTTAGCCCTTCCTTACTTGTTACACATTTATTTTATATTAAAGAATGCAAAAATAACTTTTATTCAATGTTTAACTTTTGTTCAATTCTATTTAATTACAAAATAACTAAAGAGTTGCTTTCTAACAAATAATCAGTGTTACCTTATCTACATACAGTGAACAAAAAAATCTTGTGACCTTTATCTTAAGCTATTTTAGCTTTCAAGCTGCCACCAAGAGTAACAATATGTGAGACTAATGTATTTTTCGGTTTTTAAAAACATTTTAATACTAAATCAATTTGGATGTTAACCTTTCGAGCGGCCAAGAAGAAGCTTGTATACTTACCTTGGCAACACTTTAAGTGCAGTTATCTATTAGGTACAAACTCTGGCACTCAAATAATGTCAAGTGAGCAAGAGTACTCACAAAATAGGCAATATTGTCCAAACACTACATCTTACTGTTCAGTACATTATTGCTAAATTGAAAAAGACAGACAAAGTTGGAAGATCCAAAAAAAAAAATATACACATATCAAAAAGTAAAATATTCGAAGTTTCTTGATACTATATTCCAAAGGGTATATCCACCGTGATAACGATTTTGGGATTTTATAATTTTTACCAGTGAAAACAAACTGAATTTATTTGGATCTGGGGTCGTCAATTTGTATGGCGTAAAGAAGTCTAAGCGCTAAAACATAAAAATTTAAATAATTCTGATATATTTATAATAACACATAATTTTTAAGAAAAATTGTCCACTCAATTTCAGTAACATATCACACATTTTAATAAACCTGAACGGTTTTAAGCCAGTTAGAAAGTCGGAAATTTTTGGGGGGGCTATATTGGGAGCAAAGAAAGGGATGAGACATCACACCGATCTAATTGAGAACATATTTTTAAGCAACTTTATAAATTTATAACTCATTCACTAAATTAAATATTTAACATAAGGCTTGTTAGAATAATATAATGGTTTTCATATGTAGTATATGGGAGTTGGGGTAATTCGTAGACCGAGTTCACATACTTTTGCCATTAAACTATAGTATATCAGATATTATACTTTTAGTTAATTTTGATAAGATATCTTACATATTTTTTATATCGGGCAATAATGGTATAAGTTAAACCGAAAGTTTGTAAAATCTTATATTAGGTATATGGGATATAGGGGTAATATTGAAACGATTTTAACAATACCACACATTATTAACATGCCACACCCCATACCACATATTAATAAAAAAGCTTCCTGGGTTTAGGGTACCCCACATACCATCACCACTATATGCATACCTAGAGTAAAGTCGAAAATCCTGATATTGGTTATGGGGGCTAGGGCAACTTTTACCCAATTTTGTCCATTTTAGGCACAAACATACTGTTATTGGCAAAACACGCAAGTATATGGATGCTAGGGAAGTATTGACCCGATTCAACCCACTTCAGACATACAAACATACAATTATCAGGAAAGGACTCTCCCCGAATTTCAATTATATATCTCACACATTATTCGATAGTTTGGGTAAAAAGTCAGCCGTAGGCATTGGGGTCCTCATAATCGGTAAATGGGGGTTGAACAATTATGGTCCGATTTTGACAATGTTTAGTCCTGAAATGATATATCTTAAAGGCAATATTTTTGTAAACAGGAAAGTGAAAAAACCGAATGGAATTCAAAGTTGATATAGGAGTATCAAGATTATGCTACCCACCGAATTTGGTTACGATAGGTCGAATAGGTCCCGATTTATGTGATTGGTGAACGGTGCCACGCCCATCGGCCAATTTAGATACGGGATCCTATAAAGCCCCTTTGTATCATCCTAGATGTAAAATTTAATGTCTCTGAAGCACTTAGTTATTAATTTGTCGCACTTTTTGTAGTTTTTAACAAAACTGTGATATGGGGTTATTATTCGATTTTACCTATTTTCACATTGTCGTAAGTGTCGAATAAAACTATTTGGGATATATCCACAGTAAACTTATTAGGGGGCGAGGCCAGGACCACTTTTTTTATAAATTTTCAAACCACAGGAGCCGCTCCTTACTGCCATTCGTTGTTCCAAGTATTGTATCTGTATTGGCGGCTCAATTTAACATTTAAAATGCTTATTTAAAGCAAATACTTAAATATTTAATATAAAATAAATATGTAGAAACATTGTAGTGAAGTGTTAGTGTGTAATAAGTGCACAATATAAAAGAAAATATAACCATAAATCGAGAAATTGTAAAATGAAATTTGTGAAATTTTCAACTTAAAATGCAAATATCTAAAACTATAAGTTTTCGGAATGTAGTTCTACACAAACAGCAGCGAAAGGGTTATTTTTTTGAAGCGCGGCCGAAGGCCTCCAGTGCGGAAAGAAGTTCGACGATCTCCGATATTCGTTCATACCATCAAATCGCGGCACAAAAGAAATTTTGACTGTTACATTTCTTCAGTATATTTTTCGCATAAGAAAATGTTTAACACACTGAACTGGTAATTACGGCTAAGTGCTCTGAATTCTACAGAATTTTGCCGCTACAACAACAACAACTAAGTGACTTGAATATGTGATATGTGCAAAGTGTGTAAATAAATATTGAAAAATATACATAAATTATTGAAAAAATTCACTTTCCGCTCACGGATTTGTAATCTACGCATAAAAATAAGACGATTTAAAAAAAAAATTTCACTTTTGAGGCCTCCTTATGTGGGGGACTTTAACTATACATTTACCATAAGTATATAGTCTTTATCTGGAGAATATCCTCTATCCGACCATACCGATTTTATTCCCGAAAGCCTGGGACAGTATTCTAAAGTTTTCACAAAATGAGTGTGTACGGATAGAGGAACTAAAATAATAAAATTAAGCGAGTAACTGTTCTGTCTCAGCCCATAAACTGAAAAACACAAATTTAAGTGATTCCAAATACTGCAGTTTTCAACCGTACCAAAACAAAATATTTAAATTTCCATTTGAACGTTATCGCAGATATGTACATATGTATATTATGCAACCAAAAAATCTTTTCTACAACTTACTGTTGATATCGAGGACAGACGTTCGGTTTTTTGAATTGGAGCAAGTCCACCCTTACGAAATTTAATGAGTGAGACTCGGGGCTTCACAGCAAATGCAATTATGTTTAAACGTACCATTTCGTCAGCCAAACCGGATAAATTCATAAACAAACCTTATCAACGAAGTAAAATATGACAAATACTACACAAACATAGAGATGGCACGACTATTCATATTGTGACGAACACGGATGATAGAACAAAATCAAATCAACGATAAACTGCCAGAAGCAACTAGTTAGCGAATTCGTAGTTGCCAGAATGTTCTAGAAGCAATGTTTGGTTACAGATTTACTATATAAGGCTGCCGGATTGTGCAGCAAACACAGTTCTAGTTAGAGTGTTGTCGTGATAAGAGCAATTAAGCTATAAGCAAGAAGTTGTAAGCTCGAATAACGAGCAATAAGTGTTAAGTTGTTGGAATTAAGATATGTGTATAGCCATTAAATTGGGACTTTAATTTAACAATCCAGTGATCGAACCTGTAACTCACTCTTGAGTTCGATCACTGGATTGATAAATTAAAGTCCCAATTTAATGTTATACACTTATCTTTATTTCCAATTCCAACAACTTAACACTTATTGCTCGTTATTCGAGTTTACAACTTACTGCTTATAGCTTAATTGCTTTAAACACGGCAACACTCTAATTAGAACTGTGTCTGCTGCACAATCCGGCAGCCCTTATATAGTAAAATTGTAACAAAAGTCCGCTACTAGAACAGGGGAAACTTTAGTATGCGATCGGACGCCTTTGGGGTTAAGTGGGGTATGGTTGGATAGAGGAGATTCTCCAGATCACGAATATATATACTTATTGCCGCCGGAAACTTAGAATCTCCTCTACGGCATCATCTGCATTGGCGGCCTTCGGCCACGCTTCAAAAAAATATTCCATGGCTGATCCAACACCGGGGTGGTCGTTATTTCTTTCGCGTTAAACTTCTTTCTGCATTGACCGATCCAACACCGGGATGGTCGTTTTTCCTTTCGCGTCCTATTTCTTTCTGCATTGGCGGCCTTCGCCCGCGCTTCAAAAAAATAACTCTGGCCAATCCAATACCACGGTTGAGAGAATGGAACGATTAAATCTATGGTTCATGTATATTCCTCTATTATTCATATTAATTCGTTTGCAAAATATAAATATATATATATATAAATAAGTAAGGAAGGGCTTAGTTCGGATGTAACCGAACATTTTATACTCTCGCAAAGTCAAATGGTATACTCGTTTGAGATTTCTTTATGGATTGACCGATATTTTCGGTAGAAGGTCAACTATAGGCACTGGGGTCCACATATTTAGTACTTAGGGGCTTGAACAGTTTTGGTTCGATTTAGACAATTTTTGGTCACAAGGTGGCACACTTTAAACGAATTATTCACGCAAAGTTTTACCCCGATATAATCATTGTTGCTTGATATGCATAGTGGAAAGTGAAAGAATCAGATGGAAATGAAAATGGTGTTATATGGGAAATAGGCGTGGTTGTAGTCCGATTTCGCCCATTTTCGCACTATAACATAGAAATATGAAAATAACGTTATGCACCGAATTTGGTTAAGCAGATCCCAAGATATGGGTTTTCACCGGTTCCACGCCCACTAACTAATTTTGAACGCGGTTTCTATAAAGTCATCTCATACCATCCCAGAGATAAAATTGAATGTGTTAATAGTGCTTGATTTATCGCGCTTTTAGTATTTTTTAACAGTACCGTTATATGGGGAGTGGGCGGGCGTGTCACCCGATTTCACCCATTTTCACACCGTCAATAGAGGTGCTAAAAACATTTGCTCCCAGTGAATTTGGTTATTATATATATATAGCATTAGCGGTTTAGGAGATATGCACATTAAACTTATTAGAGGCGGGACCACGCCCTCTTAAAAAAAAATTTAACTGCAGGTGCCTCTCCCTAATGTGATCCTGTGCACCAAATAACAGTCTTGTATCTTATTGCGGAGCTTAGTTATGGCAATTTATTTGTTTTTGATTAATGGCGTTTTGTGGGCGGGGCAGTGGTCCGATTACGCCCGTCTCACGGTACCAATAAACATTTCTACCAAGTTTCATAAAGATATCTCAATTTTTACTCAAGTTAGAGCTTGCACGGACGGACGGACAGACAGTCACCCGGATTTCAATTCGTCTTTTCATCCTGATCATTTAAATATATAAACCCTATATCTAACTCGATTAGTTTTAAGTGATACAAACAACCGGTTAGGTAAACAAAACTATTATACTCTGTAGCAACAGGTTGCGAGGGTATAAAAATAGATGTGGCAACACTTATTATCTGTCAATATAGAATCCATTTGTTATATGTACAAAAATTGTGTTAAAATACAAATCAAAAAGAAATTTAAATCAAATTTTAAATTAATTATTACACAATAAATATGTAGAAACATTGTAGTGAAGTGTTAGTGTAATAAGTGCATAATATTAAATAAAAGTTAACCATAAATCGAAAAACTGTAAGATAAAATTTGGGAAATTTTCAACATAAAATGCAAATATCTCGAAAACTAGAGAATCTCCTCTATCCAACCCCTCTTAACCCTGAAATCGTGGGATGGTATACTATATATAAAAACGACCCCTAGAACATTCTGGCAACTACAAATTCGCTGTCTAGTTGCTTCTGGCAGTTTATCGTCGATTCTGATTTGTTCTGGTATTCGTGTTCGCCCCACTGCCCCTCTACCTAAGTCTGATCGTCCCGATTAGACATATTTGCGGTACCAAACGCTGCAAGTCGTTCCAGATGAACCACCATCATTTTATTCCTTGGTCTGTATGCGATACACTACATCATTGAGTCGTTTATTAACCTGGTATGACCTTCCCAATTACACTGTAATTTGAGAGATAACCCTTTATTTCGTTGTAGGTTATATAACAATACCCAATCACCTTCAATAAAACCCTCAGAGTTTATTGCCTTGTCGTATTTTGATTTCATCTTATCATAATTTTGGTGCGCTGTCTCACAATAGCATGTATATCCCTCATCTCGTATTCTAGGTTGCTATTGAATTCGTTAGTATTCCTTCCTCCGTTGGCGTTAATTCCAAATTTTAAATCAATCGGTAGTCGAAGATCATTAGCAAAAATTACCCTTGCTGGAGTCTGCCCCGTTGTTTCATGTACAGCAGACCGATAAGCCATCAGGAACAAGGATATATGGGTATCCCAATCTTTTTGATACTTGTCCACGACTTTCCTCAAATTTTCTTCCAAAGTTTGATTGAATCGTTCTACCATGCTATCGGACTGCGGATGTAGTGTAGTTGTACGGGTTTTCCGGATACCCAACTTCTGCTATATCTCCTGTATTAGCTCTAATTCAAAATTTCTCCCTTGGTCAGAACGTAATTCTATTGGAACACCATATCTCGATACCCAAATCCTGCCTCTTGGTTAGGAATTGCGTATACCTCTGGCCATTTGCTGAAATAGTCCATGACTACCAAAACATATCTGTTTCCTAATTTACTGATAGGAAATGGACCACTTACATCCATAGCTACCCGCTCAAAAGGCACATCTGAATTGTACTGCTTCATCTGACCATGACTCCTGGACCGCGGCCCTTCAGCAGCAATTCAGTCGACAAAACTGGCGATCCACTCCGTAACAGATTGATGACAACCAACCCAATAAAATCTTCGTTTTAATTTCTCCAAGGTTTTAGTGAAACCCATCTGTCCTCCACTTGGACCGTTGTGCAGCTCATTGAGAACTTCGGGAATTCTTACTTTCGGAACAATCATTAGAGCTCGGGAACTTTGCTCACCTTCGCTTTCCCATACGCAATGCAAGCAGCCAGACATTAACTTTAAACTATTCCATTGTGCCCAATAAGCCTTTGCGACTGGGCTTTCTGCAGCTATTTCTTCTTTCATTGGACATTTATTCATCAGCAATCCATGTATTACACTTTTCAAATCTGGATCTTCTTGCTGACATTTCCGTAGCTCCTCCGGATCCCAGTCTGGTGTTATAGTCATTAATCGGACATCTATAGTTTCTTCTTTGGCCTCAGCTTTCGAGCAATGTCTGCATTCCAAATTACATGGACGGCGGGACATGGCATCAGCATTTCCATGACTACTACCTTTGCCATGCTCTATAGAGAAGTCGTAAATTTGGAGTCTCTCAATCCACCGTGCCAACTGTCCTTCTGGGTTCCTGAATTGTAGAAGCAATTTTAATGCTGCATGATCTGTCCTCACCCGAAATCGCTAGCCATAAAGGTACTTATGAAAATGTTTGATGCACTTTACCAACGCCAGGAATTCCCTCCGAGTAACACAATAATTTCTCTCTGGCTTGCCTATGGTCTGGTTGTAATACGCAACCACTTTCTCATGTCAATCAATGAGTTGTTATAGAACGCCTCCTATTGCACATCCACTAGCATCCGTATCCAAAATAAACGCTGATCCTGGGACCGCGTATGCTAACATTGGCGCAGTACTTAACCGTTTCTTCAGAGTTTGGAAAGCCACTTCCTGTTCTTTATTCCATTCAAGAACTCTGTTCTTTTTCGTGAGTTCATGGAGGCTACTAGCTACGCTGTAAAATTTGGAACGAATCGTCTATAATAAGTACACAGTCCAAGGAAACTCTTCAATTCATGTAAATTGGTTGGAGCGGTCCAATCTCTTACTGCCTCGATCTTGTCATTAGCTGTGCAAATGCCCTCCGTTGTCACTTTGTGAACTAAGTAGCTTACTTTTTTTTTCAAAAGGCAACACTGCTTTGGACTCAGTTTCAGACCAGCGCCAGCTATCCGTTGGAAAACCTCTTCCAAGTTCTTAAGGTGTTCATCGAAGCTTTTATCCAACACGATGATATCATCGAGGTATATCAAACAGGTCTTCCAGTGTAATCCTTTTATTACCTGGTCCATAAGTCTCTCAAAATTAGCAGGAGCATTACATAATCCAAAGGGCATTACGGTAAATTGCCATAGACCATCTCCAACGCTGAAAGCCATATTTTCTTTGTCTTCTTCGTTTACCTCCACTTGCCAATAACCACTTTTTAAATCAAGTGTTGAGAACCATTTTGTGCCTGATAACGAGTCCAGTGTGTCATCGATTCTAGGTAGTGGATAACTGTCTTTCTTTGTTACATCATTCAACCTTCTATAGTCCACACAAAAACTCATGTTGCCGTCTTTCTTCTTCACAAGTACTACAGGTGAACTCCATGGACTCTCTGATGGTTCGATTATGCCGCTTTCGCTCATTTTACGTATTGTCTGGCTTACAACTTCACGTTTTGCTAAAGGAACGCTCCAAGGAGCCTGGAAGATTGGTCTTGCATCACCTGTGTTAATAAAATGTTTCACAACTTTGGTTCTTGCTGGTTGGGTATCGTCTTTA